ATGGCTAGAGAGCGGCTGAAACGAGGAGGCATGAGAGAGGCGAACGGCTGCGATGGGCGCAGCAAGCTAATCGATCGATAGAGTCGACAATTGCGAGTTGCCTTTCTTCTATCGCCACTCTCCTCGATTTTCCCTCCCAAATTCACTCGTCCGGTCCATCGGCCAATCGAATTTCGTCGGATCTTCGTGGTGGTCTCCAGAAGAGCCGTGTCTTCAAACCATTGTCTAATTGCTCATGAAAATGAGCAACAGCCTGAAGGTGAAAGTTGACGAACGGCTTGACATCGCTCGTCTCGTTGAGCAGTACAAGACGGTACTGTTTAACCCGGACTTGTCAGGTAGGGTTCACGTTTGAGGGCTTTCGCGCCAGAATCTGAATACCGCGACCTCTTGAATATGTACCGAATACGGCTTTGATCCAAAAGAAAAAAGAATGCACAGTTTCCTATCCTTTTGTGCATGAAAGGTTACAAGTAACCATCAAACTGCTCGACTTCATAGTCTCGGAGACACTCATCTGAAGCCAATAGGAGTTCCAATTAGATTTTTGCTGGAAGAAGATTTTTAGCGGTAACAAAGCATTGTAAAAAGTACATGTTTACATCATTGTACCCACCATATTTCCATTGTTTCAGCCAGGTGCCCCTATAGTTTCGGACTGGCTCGATGAGAGCAGAAAAAACCGCAGCGTGCCAGTACTTTGAGACATTGTTCCTTCCTTCCTAACTATTTTCCCCCTTTTCATCACAATCCAGTTTCTCGTAACACTAGATTTCTGCGTAAATTGAAGTTGTAGCCCACCTCCAAAGTTTAGAAAAGCATCGACTCAACTCCACTATGGTGGGGCATTTTGTTACAATAGTTCATAGGATTACGGTGGTTACAATTCTGAACAAGTGACTTGTCAAAGCTACGAAGGTTACGGATTCCGTTTCGACGCCTTTTCGACCTTTCATGTGTTGCACGGAATTTATTGCTCGAAGATATGAGAAAAACGATTGTGCGGGGAGCGAAGGCCACCGAAGACAGGAGCTTCGGGCAGGTTAACCAAGTTTTCTGCAAAAAAGAAACTGCCGGGGAAATAGGTGGATATTACTCTTCCTAAGCGTCCACTGTAAAAGTAATTATTTGTATACGTCTCCGCTGAATAAAAATAGCGCCAAGAACTCGTCTGTGCCACACAGTTCTAAAAATGAACCGATGAATCAGGGGCAATAATGTGAAACTAGTAGATTCATTTCTGTAGTGTAACATTGCGTTATATCTGATGTTTATTCTGTAGGTCCAGTAAAACCGTCTCAGGATATCTGTCAACCGTGGAGCCTCCCTTCCTTGTTTTTTCTTCATTTTTACTTCTTTTCCATCCTTCCTTCTCACTTTCCTCTTCCTTGTTCTCTTCTGCAATGAGAAAACGCCTCTGTACCCTTTAAAGGAAGAAATATCCGGTTGACAAGCAACCTGTAACCCAGTTACTCAATATACTGAGTCCCAGATCACCTTTCTTCTGATATTATCTTCTTCTTGAAAGGTACTTTCGATATCTGAGGCATTTTTTTATCTGTAGCCGGGTGGAAGCGTCCTCGCAACTAGAGGTCATGCTGAAATATCCTATTGTTGGGCATTGACCTCTGCCGGTGGGAGTTTTGAATTATTCCATCTTTTTCTTCTGAAATGACTTGCGCTTATTTCGGTGGTCCATTTTGAAAGTTTCATTCAGACATCACGTTTAAAATGTGTGTGTTGACACTACTATTAGGTTGTCCGGAAAGTTCTCAGCGTTTTGTGCACCTATTTTTTGTACATTCACTGCTGATTAAAAACTCATTCTGCCTTGCTTCTCAGTAGCACATCCTGTAGAGAATTTCTTGCGCTATCTGATGGTATAATTGCCGTTTCACCATTGCTTGATAAACCCCCTTTTTCAAGATTTTTTCAAGCATGTGAAAAGAGCACTTCGGACGATTTTTTCTTCGACTATAAATTGGGGCAATCCGCAATGGAAAGCAATCCGCAATCGAAACAGCTCAACAAATTAACCAGGTGTGGGGGCCCAATAGTGCTAGAGAAAGCACTGTGCGGCAATGGCTCAACAAATTTCGTTCTGGAGATTTCAGCCTTGAAGATGAACCTCATAGCGGTCGACCTAAAGCAATATCTGACGAGGATTTTAGGGGGATTTTGGAGGCTGACCCATCCCAAACAGTTCGAGAGATAGCAGAAGAGCTAGGCCTTGGCAAATCCACTGTTGCAGATGGTCTGGAACGCATTGGGAAGGTGAAAAAACTCGACAATTGGGTGCCCCACAATCGGAGTGACCGGCAGGAATCGGCACGTCTCGAGGTTCCTTCTGCATTGCTTTTGCGCAGCAGAAACGACCTGTTTTTGGACCGAATTGTCACCTGTGATGAAAAATGGGTCATGTATGATAACAGGAGACGTTCCGGACAGTGGTTGGATTTCGACGAACCACCGAGGTAATTTTCAAAGCCGAACCCTCACGAAAAAAAGATTCTGGTCACGGCTTGGTGGTCATCGGCTGGTGTGATCCACTATAACTTTTTATCACCAGGCCAAACCATCACAGCAGAACCCTGTGAAGAAATCGACGAATTGTACCGAAAATTTTGTCAGATGCAGCCAACACTTATCAAAAGAAAGGGTCCGATTCTTTTGCATGACAACGCCCGCCCACACGTTTCACAAATCACTATCCATAAATTGAACGAATTGGGGTTGAAGTTCTACCTCACCCGCCATATTCTCCAGACCTTTCACCAACCGACTATCACCTTTTCAAACATTTTCAGAACTTCCTTGCTGAAAAATACTTCATCAATTAGGACCAGGCAAAAAAGACCTTCGTAGATTTCGTGGATTCTCGACCACCCAGTTTTTTCTTTGATGGGATTTCTCGACTGCTGTCACATTGGCAAAAGTGTGCTGATTCGAATGGTGCCTATTTCGATTAAATCCGATGAGTATTAAAAAAGTTACGATCGTTTAAAGTGAAACACCCAAAACGCTGAGAACTTTCCGGACAACCTAATACAAGTTCAGCCTGTTGTCGGCCAAGTAGCTGCTGTGTTATTCGCTGCGGATGATGGGGCGTGTTAGTGAGGCGGAACTGGGCGCGCCGCCAGCCTGTCCTCCAGCATTTGTTGAAGTGATCAGTTGGTGGAAAAATTGATACGAACGCCATGAAACAGTCATGTCGCTTGTCAGAACAAAAAAACGAAAACAAACGGGCTAGCGTTGCGCCAGACCCAATCCTCCTGACACGCCCATCATCTTTCCGCAGGAACGAGAGGCTGCGCACTTCGGTCACGCACACATTTACTTTAAGGAATCTGAACAACGGAGCAGATCAATGTGTTCTACTGAAAGGCTCTCAAAGCGCGTGAAGAAGGGGCTATACAAATATTAGGTTGTTGCGCATAAGTTATTTCCCCCTGCTTTGATGCTTCCGTATTTCGTTTGCATGGAGGTTGGTATTTCGTCATCACGTGTGCGTGACGTGTACATGATACTCTTTCACCACACTAGCTATCACTCACCCACCCTGCATTTGCAGGCTACAATGCCGCACAATTACCAGTGCAAAACCATGTCACAGTGGTGATTGTGCGGCATTGTGGCCTTCTTCGGGTCCCAGCCCCCGTCCTTCTGGGACGATGGAATCGACAAGCTGCCTGAGCGTTGGCGTCGAGTAGTGGATGGTGATGGTGCATACCTCTAATCTTCAGGCTGGTTCGCTATTGAGATAAGAAAGAACTTATGCAACAACCTAATATTTACTATGAGTCCCTGCTCCACTTCCGCAATAATCTGGTTCTCCATACTGATAATGTATAACAAATGATCCTTTTTCTGCGGTCCCGCGTTTGGTTAATATAATCGCATCACATCACGTGCTCAAGTCTTCATCGTTGACCCCCCCCCCTCATTAAAAAAGACTTTTAATGGGCAGTCTTCAGTACTTCTTTACTGCATATTGAGAACAAAGTCGTTTCACAAGAGATTGTCATCACCATTACATTCGTAACAAATAAACCGTAAATAATAGGCTCGACTTATTCTATTATGTCCCAATATACGCCATCCGCATGCTCTACAGACAGGGTACAGCATCGTGATATGTGAAGTGGTGGTGGAGGTACGACCCACTTCCTTCCCTAACCCTACCTACCTATTTCCCCCACCCACGCTTTCCTTCTCACCCAGAAGTTTACCGTCGAGCAGGGGCGGGAGGGGGATGGGGTAAGAAGGTATGTAGTCATGGTGAAACGGAAATTTCTCAGATTTTCCCCAATTTCCCACCACTATTCCGCAATTTATCGAAAATTTTCCTACTTTTCTCCAAAAATTTTGCTGCCGAGTGGGGGAGGGGGTTATATAGTGCACAAGAAAAATCGAAAAGTTAACAACCGGTAAAATTTTTTCCCCCAACGCAGCAGACTTCTTCTAAAAGGCACATCCCCCCCCCTCCAAACGACCAAGTACGACCCTCCCTCCCCCTCCCCAGCGGAAAAGTTCGACCTCTGTGTGTTTCATATAGCGCTGTTGTACCCGTCTATAGACTGCTGAATTCTCTCCGTCAGACTGCTTTAGTTTTCTACTCTTGTCTGCGCTCTCTGGTCTGTATGACCTCTGGCTAGTGCATATTGTCTACTTCAGCTTCTCACCCCAGAACCTCTTCCTTTCTTGAACAAACCTATCCATGGGGTCTCCGTATGGGCGCTTGCACGATAAGTGCGACCAAATCGCGAAGTGTGCACTTATCGTGCAAGCGTTGTCAAGGCTATACTTTGCAACTTGGCGTTTTGAGCGATGAAAAGGAAAGTGTAGGAATCGTCGCAAAATACGCCGATTCACTCAAAACTCCAGTTCTTCCAAAACGGTGATTCTTCCAAAACACCAGATCGATACGGAGTACACTCCTTTTCCTTTGAAATGCCGATTTGCTCAGATCGCTGATTCTCTCCAAGCTTCGAGTGGAAAGTATGAGCACACTGTAAGGCTGAGAATGGTTAGGGCGAATCCTCTCGACTACAATAGCACCTGATTTTTTTTGCCATGTGACAGTTTGCTATGCAAAGAAAGGAAGTGTGTTAATGAACCACTGCGCTCATCCCAAAGCGTGCTTATTGACCGTTTGCAATAATATGTGTTTGTTGCGGTTCCCTGTCTAGGGTGCCCCACATCAAGATGTCCCGGTCAGAGCACGCCATCGTTGTGATAATCACAACGTGGGGGGGGTCGTATTTGGCCGCGAGGGAGGGAGTCGTATTTTGCAGGGTCCCCCCCTAGTTGGCGGCGTCGCCAAGGTTCTATACAACCGATCTGATATAGTTGAAAATAGTAGTTAGTTTCTGACGATCTCCCCTCCCCCCGCGTTCAGCGCTCTCGACAGCGAAATTTTGGAGAGAAAGTGGCAAATTTTCTGGAAAATTCGGAAAAAAAACTGGTAAAAAGTTAAGAAGATCTGGGAAAGTGGTTAGCAGGATGAAGAGGAGGGGGGGGGTCGTTTCAGAGGATGGAATTAGGGGGTCGTATTTTGGATTTATCACAATGTGTGCCCTGGTCCCGGTACCTTGGACTAACGCTCACTGTTCCAGTTCCGAACATTACAAACATGATGACACATTACATCACACCCTTCATAAATGTCAGACACAGTGAAAACTGACTTGAACAGGGGCTGTGAAAGTATTTTAACTGTGTTTTGCAAGATATTTCATGTAGTGCTTCATCAGAACCTAACAACATGCTTTCGTTGAAGTGGTACCTTTAAACAGCTGATCAATGGTGACACGTGTGCAGCCCAATTTATGCACATTTTAATGTGCTTATTTCAGAAGACCAAAAAACGGAGGCATGGTCGCGAATTCTTGCCGAATGTACGTCCCGTGGTCATCACTGGGTGAAAGGGAAAGATGTCACATACCTGAAAAAATCGAAGTGGCCAGGGATAAAGAGAGATGCCATAGTGAGTTTTCATTTTGAAATTGTCATCATTACTGTTCTATTGATATTGATAGTTCCTAGTGAGGAGTGGGAGTTGATATGCTTGTAAGAGTTCCACAATGTTTGAAAAATGTTTTTTGTTTGTTCTGTCGCTATTTAAAAGGGACAGATCGCCGTTATCCAATCTCCTTTTGTGATGCGGCATGCATTCTGCTTGCACCTAGCGTAAAGGGTCCCTGAATGTGATATGGCCTACACAATGACCTGCAGGGCCAAGGGCCAGCCGATGTAGCAGTTGATGTTTGTACCTTCCCAGACGGGTATCAGCTAATTAGCATCGGAAGATGGAAGGCTTGGTTGGCCTCGGCGGGAGCCGAACGAGTTTGACTCCGAACCGCGCGCCTGGTAAGCGTGCCATTCGCCAGTATCACCACCGCTCTGTTGCCGTTTGCGAGCCAGCGCTGGTGTCTGTTTGAAAAGCGCTGTATACTATCTACTCCTGCCTTCTGGAACCAAACTGTAGTTGAAGGGCGACACGGCGAAGCGCGCTGCTCTGCTTCCTGGTGCGGATACAGTCATGGGCGCTTTTCTGAGGTTGAACTTTGGCACAGAAGGGACCATTTCGTCGCAACGTCCCTGAACAGCAGTGATTGAGCTTTTCACATTAGACTGTGGATAGAACTCAAGTTATATGTATGTATGCTTTGCGCTAAGTCGAAGTGACGATAATTCTGAATAAAATGAATAGAAAAATAATGAAATGATGAATAAAATAAATATTAATAATAATTGTAATAGTAACGAATGAAATAGTGAAATAAATTAATAATTATTTCCTGACAATTTTCCTGAAAGAAACGTTTTATAAGTTGTAAAAGTTCATCACGATTTTGCTAGGAAAGGTCTTATAAGTGAACCTATTTCAGGAGCACTATCAAGCTGATATGAAAAGTGATGTCTCCCATAGAAAGAAGCTGACAGAGGCTGATGTTATCGTTCTAAAGGCGATCAGTTTCAATACTGAAAACCTAGGTAGGTTTGCTTTCATCTTCCCGTCCAAAATTACTTCTTCCTATTTGAGAAACCTTAATCGACAAATCATTTTTATTCCTGGATCTGGCCTGAAAGTTATGGTGTTTGAGAGTAATCTTGCAACAGTTCTTTATGAGCTTGTTGTACTAATTCGATGTAAAAAATGAGAGTTGCAGGCTCATTGACGAAGAAAGAAAACCATAGCCTTGGTGCAGATATTTATGACGGGGATGTTACGCAACCAGTGACAGTCGAAGTAAAGACGGGTGAACCACTCGACCTGCTTGCCTGCGGGATGCAATTATCGGGCGGTAAGTCTGCTTGAACTGCATTTGCCAAGAAAAATTGATTTACATCGCTGTGTTGTTTGTCTTGCCCTGCAAGTCTCAAAGGGTTACAAAATTATTTTTGAATTACAAGCTTATCGATTTACTGGATTTTATATACAGCGCTTGCTTTGATCATCTATTCGAAACGAAATCTTTTCTTGAAGAACTAATTCCAGACCTGGACAAATTCGACAACGGCCTATTGGTGAACTTATTCTCGAAAAATCATCAAGAGACGCGAAAAACAACACTCCCTTTCTCTGATCAGGTACGGTAATACGAAACAATTGCGCTCAACTATAGAACAAATATTTTTTCAAGAGGCGAAACCATTGTTTCCAATTCTAATTTTGATGATGGTGTAATAGCGAGCCTGGCCCGCTTACTACTAGTCAGGGGATCTCGAATCGGTTCCCGTGCAGATCAACCAAGCCTACAAGGATGCTGAATTATGGAAAGTCGGACCTCGAAGGAAACTCGAACCTCAAAGAAAACAACCTCAAAAAGCTAGAAGGAGTGGCAAAAAACCATTGAGCTCAGAGGGTGTGAGCGGTATCGATAGCTTAATGGGTAACGCAGCCGCCCTTTAAGCGGGGGATACAGGCTCGTGTCCCGCCTGGGGTCTGACTTTTGCCCGTAACTCAGCACTCTTGTGATAACTTTCGAAGCTCGTACTGCGACGTTAGACACTAGTTATCATACTGAAACAACGTAAAACTTATTTGTATAGGCTTCACCGTGTTCAAAAAACCACTGTAGTTCTGAATGAAAATAGAATGCGTGCCGCAAAAACGTTCTCCTTTCATTATTTGGTATTATTTTTTTATTAGAGTATTATTTTACCTATAACTGTCAGTTGTTCTCACTAACACTTCAGGAACATCGCTACTCGAAGCGGCATCGGATGGATGATGACGATGGTCCTATAGATCATGATCTAATGGCTGCCTTAGGTTTTGGAAAAAATCGTCATAGAGGTTTGTCAAGATTATTGTTTTTCTGTCCTCGGCTTTGTTCAACTGAATTGTTTCAAAGTTTTTTCTTTTTTTTTCTACGCCGCAAATATTTTCCAGATGCCGTGGAGTCGTCAGAACGGCATGTTCAAAAGCCTTCAGAAAATGACAGCAGCTCTTCAGAACGTGTTACCTCCGTTGGCGATGTAGGTTTACAGTATTACAACATGCTGATTTTTTGTGTAAGGTGCAATTGTGCACATTATTCATTTCGTCGCTCTTTCAGTATGTTCGGTCTCTGAATTCGATCCCTTCTGTGCTAAAGGAAGATGAGCCTATGTTTGCGGTTCCCTGTCCAAGTCCGAATGAAAGAAAACCATCCGTGGATCATCCTAAATGTCCTATTTCGCTGCCTAAAGGTTTGGACCTGAATACACTTCCTCCCCATCTACGTATATCGATCGACATGCAAAAAATATGAACATTTCGTTTTCAGTGTCGAGCATCAGTACTGTTTCTTCAGTAACGTCTCCTAAGGAAAATTGTCGTGATCTGAAAAGTCTCCAAAAGAGAGCTTATGAAGCGCAGATCGCTAGGGTGAGTGGTCTTTACTCCACTAAGATTTTTCCATATTTGGTTTTTCTTTAGCAATCTGTGGTGCAGGATGAAGGTTTCTGCAGTTTTTTTTTCGCTGCAGATGAAGGGCGTGTCATTCGGGATGGGTTTGCGTCGCCAGTCCCGTTCTCCGCCAGCTGTTGAAGCGGGTAAGGACAGCAGTAGGTGAATAACGACTGGTAGAAAGACATGATGTCACTGAAGAGATGCTATTTGCTCGCAACAACTAGCGCTGCGCCAGGCTAATCCTGCCTGACACGCCCCTTCATCCGCAAGTGACAAGACTGCATTTGTTTTCTCGGTGATACATAACCTTGGTTGCTGCCACACCCATATGTTGGATGTCAGGTTTCAGGTCTTGGGTTGAAGACACATTCCGCGGTTGCATGTTGGGGGCATACATGTTTCTTTGTGAACCTGTAGTCTCTAGGTGACTCTGAAGGGATCGCAAACGAAAACCGAGAACGCCCTAAATAAATATTTACTTCCGGCTGTCTCATTGTACTAGTTTCCGTGACTTGTTTTCCTCACTCCAGCAGACTGATACCCTGCAGCCAGTGTTCGTTTCTTGGCATACAAGTTCTTTTTTTGCATGATCCACAACCAAGAGCCATTCAGCGCGAGGGCAGATGTGAAAAAATAGAGAAGAAACGAAGAGAGAATGGTCTTTAAGAAAGTTTTGTGCAAAATTGGGGTTACGGGAATTCTGACGATCCATGCACATGTTAAGACGTTAACGCTAAGTGTAAGGCGGGCAGTGGTAATGCACGGGTCCACCTGCCACGAATAGCGTACTTTCGACCTGAGCGGTCACAGCGTTCTCTTCCCCAACTGTGTAGTCGTGGCAGGGAGCAGTCCCTGAGTTTGCGCACCTGATTCTTTAGACAAGGGGATTTTGTGGATTTATCAGGCGTAGAAAGCGTTTTGAAGGTTTTCGGCGGTTGATGGGGTTGTGTTTCAGCTGGACCAGAAAACTTTTGAGTAAAGGGCTGAGCACAGCTTGATGTGAATCGGGTAGTAACGGCAACTACTTTAGGTATTCCGGAGCAGAAATAGCGGCCGCTTTCGTGCTAAAACCGAGTACTCACCTCCGTGGATCCTGATTTCGCCATGCGTAGGGTGAATGGGTCCGCGTCTGCAGTAGCACGGCTTTTTTTGTCCAAAGTGCACGGGAACGGATGTAGAATAGTGACGTCCGGTTATCGTCTCCATACTTCGCCCGCGCTGCCGCACGGCTAGCCACACGATTGAAACGTTTCGCACCACGTGACACACATGGTGTGTCACGTGTGTGAAGCGTTTCAACGTGCTTCTTTGTCTCTGCGCCGTTTCATGCGTCTATTTAGCATCTTACTCATGTTCCGAAGTTATGAGAACACGTGTTCAGGCACAGAATACACATATATGGCAACAGAAAACTGAAGGAAACAGAAACTGTTGATTATCGGTTTGAAAAGTAACGGAATGATGCCTAGATCCTCGCACAACGGCGGTTCGGAATGCGTTAAAGCAGTCGCCTTTGCTGTGCAAGTAGTCTAGCCTCCAAGCTAGAAGACTGTTCACCTTTCGCGACTCTATTGTGAGCGTGGAGGCTGCTATAGCCGCTCAAAGTGCTAGTTCTAACTCCTCCTCAGTCGGACCGCCTTTACTTGCTAGATGTCCTCCGACGGAGGCCACTCACTTGTTCTTAGTTGGGGCGGCGGGCATTGCTAATGCCCCTGGATAATTCTGCTCTCCTTCATTACAGTTTACTCATTGGAGGTATATACATTCAATTCAACCCATTTCGCGAGGTGAAACGCGTAAAAAACACGAGTGACGCAATTTTCGTGATGCAAAACCACGACGCACAAAAGGTGCGCTACCGTAATCACAAATTCAGACACCGTGTTGATAAAATTCCTTTTTCCTTCCCAGAGTTTTTCCTCTGCGTTTTTGTTGTTTTCTTTTTGTATTCTTTCTTTTGCACTGGATGATATCAACTACTGCGAGATGTGATAGAGAGATTTGTGAGCTAGGGGCTGCACAGAGACCGCAGGGAGGTGTAACTGTGAGGGAGCGATTTTGTTTATGTTGTTCTGGAGGACGCTTCTTGCCTGTTTTCTTCTTTGGGAGATTACTTATCAGCTGCTGTTTCATAATTGGAAAGCAGCTATCCATGAGACTTTTATCGCGGGAGCTGTCTTTAAAATGGCCAAACACGCTGTCCGTCTCCGTCCTCTCTTGTCTGGCTATTCCCTATTACTAAGTAGGTGCTCGACGGTACCCTGTATCGATGCAAACGCTGTGCCTTGAGGATACTTGGATTTTGTAGACGGATTTCGGAGACGGCACTTGACTACCACTACCCTACAGCCTCTTTCCGTGCACTTCTGAACGGAGAAAAAATACGCGCCACTGCTGTTGCGAACTCGCTCGCCTCCCACATGGCGAGGACCGCCTTTGAACGTGTGTAGAGTTTTCGATGAATTCTTTTCTGTACCTTGGAATCTGCGAGATCCTGGCGCAACATGGGTGGGGGGGGGGGAACACTGCTGCTTGTTACAGTTGCATCTGCCATGATTTTCACCTTGAGAGAAACATGAACGAGCTTAAGGCTCATCTTTTCAGGAAGAAGCAATGACAAAAGTATTACCAGATGAAGACGAGAAAACTCGAGCTGGAAATTGCTCAACTGCAGCGAAACAGAAGTGAAAATGAGAATCAGTTATAGAGATTTATAAATTGTATCCTATTGTAAGAACCATAGTGGTACCTCAGGTTTTCGATCTCCGCTTTGCTGTACCTGATACGCCTTCCTAGATGCGGGTCTATGTATGTATTCGATTGTTTCCAGTAATTAGACATCATCTTTCCTAATCAGCCGGTGTCGTCTGTATTGTGCAGGTTATAATAAATGGTATTGTTGTACTATAGATAAAAGCTTTCAATAAAAGTTTAATGATGAGGTATGGCGTTGACCAGTTCTGGAATGCGCCACGCATTCTACTTACATTCGGGATCGTAGTGGGATAGTGCATGTGCTATGCTATACAAAGACATCGGGAGCAGCTGATGTACGAAGTCAGTGATTTTTGTCCTTCTTGGAAAGTCCTTGTTGACCATTTGATCGTTCAGGGGGGGGGGGGGGGAAGGTTTGGCTGACATGGGCGAGAACCGATTGAAAATTGGACCTCCGAAGCGAGGTATGCGGGCCGCTTGCCACTTCGAAACATTTGCCCTTTCTGTACAACTAATAGGTTGAAGGAAAAGTCCTGCAATACTAACCAGAATTTCGGACCAAATTCTCCTTCACTAAATTACACCACTAATCTACAAGCTAATCACCACTAATAACTGAGACAAAGACCCACCTTTCGCACAGCTCTATTTCACGTTTGTAGAACTACGATGAAATGGGCCTCATTTTTCAGGTGACGTTAATTTTCAAGTTTTTGCTTTCTTAAAGGATGTAGAAGGAACCGAAGTAGGTGGTAGTTACAGGCTGTCAAGTTCTATGAATAAGCTGGAATACGGTCGCATTCCCTGATCGAGATTTCTGCGCTTTGTCACATTGGTGCAGCTCATGCGGCATCCTTCACAGAAAATTTTTCCGAAAAACGGAATTGCACAGAAGCATTATAGTTCTCACTTCGGTGCGGCCAGAGATATATCCAACTTACTGTCGATTACTTTCGGCTGCGCCTCCTTAAAATTCTGGTTAAGCGGAGATAGTGTAGTGGCAAGTGGCGCCACCTTACCACAAGCGTGGTCTGGGGTTAAAAGCCCGGCTCGGCTCGCGCCTGAACCAACCGAGTTTTTCGCGCTTGCGGGGAAAGCTAATTAGTTGTAGACTCGTCTAAGAAGATAAAAAAAGTCGACTCCTACATTGGCAGCACCCCTCCTCAAAGTCTCTTATCGCCGTAGTCTTCGAATCTACTCTCCACTAATAAGTGGTAAAACATTCAAAATATTTTTGATCATTCTCTAGAACAATTTGTTGAAAGTGTTGCAAGACTTTTTTCCAACGCTATAATATGTAAGAATACCGAAATGAGATCCACTTCGATTTCTTACAAGGGAATGGTTTGAACTTCCCATGGAACTTTGAATGGAGACCTAGGTACATCGATAGAGCCTCGAATGCTGATTACGAATATGCAGATTAAAAGTGCTACGGGGACCTCCCAGACGAGATCTGGGTGGGTTCTGGCTCGTAAGCGCTGCTGATCGATGCCTCGGCAGTGCCACCGTGGCCTCGTGGTAATGGTCTCGCTTTCAAGTCAAACGCATGCGGGTTTGCATCCGGTTGGCGCGAAATTTTTGCTTCGCTCCGTATAAGCTTCAACTCTAATTTTCGAAATTCTTCCGAATTTACGGCCCAGCAGGGCAAGTAGATCAAGTACATCAAGTATACGACGTACTCGATCTAGTATGGATTTATCTGTTATGGCCACTGACATGTGATACATCCGAGCGATGTAGTGGGCGTAGCTGCATGCTTTACTCGAATATGGCTCGTGGAATATTTCCGTTGCTCGTGGGCGATTTGATATCATTTCTTTTTTGTCCTATTTTTGTCTTTTTTTGTCACTTTTTCGGGGCCGGGTCCTATATAGCAGCAATTGGGTTGTCCGGAAAGTTCCTCAGCGTTTTGTGCTACTATTTTTTGTACATTCATTGCTGATTAAAAACTCATTCCTTGCGTCTCAGTAGTACATCCTGAAGAGAATTTTTTGCGCTATCTGATGGTATAATTGCCGTTTCACCATTGCTTGATAAACCCCTTTTCCCAAGACTTTTGAAGCATGTCAAAAGAGCAACTTCGGACGATATTTTTCTTCAACTACAAATTGGGTCAATCGCAGTCGAGACCAGGTGTGGGGGCTTAGCTTACAATGGTTCGACAAATTTCGTTCTGGAAGCCTTGAAGATGAACCTCGTAGCGGTCGACCTAAAGCAATACCTGACGAGGATTTGAAGGCGTTTGTGGAGGCTGACCCAAACAGTTCGAGAGATTGCAGAAAAGCTAGGCGTTGGCAAATCCACTGTTG